TGTCAATATACTGTTCTAGTTGTTTTAGAATAATCTTCAGCAAGATTTTGCTTACATATGGTATGAGTGATATGTTTGCTAATTTCCACTCTCTTTCTTTTTGGTAATCTTTTTGGGGAGTGGCAATAAATAGGAATCTCTTCAAGTCAGTTGGCCAGATAACTGTCCTCTGGATTTCTTGACACTGCCCGGTGAGCACAACCGTAGCTGCATCTGTTTGTTGAAATCTGTTCCTTGATATTCCATCAATTCCTAGGACCTTATTTTTTGCCAATTCCTTCAGAACAGCTTGAACTTCTTCCTGTATTACCATTGGTTCTTGATCAGACACTACTTCTGAAATAGTTCTGTGCCAGACAATTCTTTCTGATACAGTGACTATATATTCCTTCCATTTTCTTGTCATACTTCCTGGATCATTCATGATTTTGTCCGTGGTATCTTCAAGTATAGTACCTTGCGGCTTGAGTTTGTTCTTCAGTTCCTCAGCTTAAAAAATGCTGAGCAAGTTCTTCCTTTTTAATTTTCTGAACCTAACTCCTTTCACATTTTGTTATAATATTTTGCTTTGTCTTCAAAGGCTGACCTTTAAAATATTCCATCTAACTCTTTTTTATTTTCTGGCCCTGGGGACTGACTTTCTGCTTTAGTTCCTGGATCTCCTTTGCCTTTTTTTAAATTATTATTAATTTTAATGAAAGTTTACAGAGACTTTAGATTTCTGTTCATTCATTGTTACATTTTTCTACCTGCCCACCTGCTAACCCCCATTTCACTCTTCTCTTCGAAAAGTAAAAGAAAAATTCTTTCATTGTTATACAGTTGCTCCCCCCACATTCCACTTCACTGTGCAGCCTTCATTCTGGACTTCTGTAATGACAATTATACTTAATCATATGTCCCTTTTAAACAGTTGTCTCCCTCATCTCTTTGCAGTATACATTATTTATCCCCCCTTTCTCCGTCTCCCCTGAACCCTGATGTCAGTCCCATTTTACAATAGTGGCACTATGCAGTATTGTGACTGAGACATTTCACTCAGCATAATGTCCTTAGGGTCACCCATTTTATATAATATTTCATGAGTTCCTTGTTTTTCAATGCAGCATAGTATTCCATTGTATACCAGAACTTCTCTATCCATTTGTTTGTTGATGGGCACTTGGAATGTTTCCAACTCTTTGTTATTGTGAATAAAGCAGCAGTAAACATGGTTGTGCATATATCTGCTTGGGTGGCAGTTATGATTTCTTTGGGGTATATTTCCAGCAGTGGAATTTCTGGGTCAAGTGGTATTTTTATTTGCAACTTTTTGAGAAGGCGCCATACTGCCTTCCATAGTGGTTGCAATTTTACACTCCCACCAACAGTTTCTCTGCAACCTCACCAACATTTGATGTTTGCTGTTCTGTTAAATTTTGCTATTCCTGCTGGGGTGAGATGTTTTGGTCATCCAACTCTTTAAATTCCTGGTTTCTTCCCTTTGTTTTGGCTTCTCATCACTCTAGTGCAATATTCAGAGTCTCTTCTGACATCCGTTTTTAGCCTTTCTTCCTCTCTCTCTTTGTAAAGACTTTTTGCTTTCTAGACAATAATTAAAGGTATATATACATAGAGACAGGTGGCCCTTGATATTCTCTGGTTCCACATCCACAGATTGAAGTAGCTGCAGAGCACACTTAACGTAGGAGATTTTGGAGGAAGGCGCCTAAAAAGCAATTAGGTGGTCATACCAATCCCTTAAGGGTTAAGAGCGATTGCGCAGGGCTACTGTATAGCGTTTAAAGGATTTTAAATATTATAAGTAACCTAGAAGTGATTTAAAGTATACAAGAGGGGGGAGCTCTGGTGGCCTAGTGGCAAGAAGCTGCACTACAATCCCAGAGGCGCACGGTTTGAATCCACCAGATACTCTGCCGAGGAAGGAGGGGTAATCTCCTGTACCAGTCAGATCTGACTTGACGGTACACACACACACATATTATAATTTAAAAAAGTATACAAGAGGATGTGCCTAGGTATATGTAAATTAGTATGCTAGTTTATCTAAGGAATTGCTGCTTCCAAGTATTTTGCTGTGCTCAGGGGACTAGAGCCCAGCCCCCTCTGGTACAAAGAGAGGACTGTGTATACATTTTAGATTGGTGTCTCATTTCCAGATTAAATACTTGAATTGATGCTTTTGTCATTAAGTTGATTATTACACGTTAACACCTACTTTGCTAGTATCCTCCTGTAATGGATGGTCAGCTGTGGGTTGATTCAGATCCAGTGGTACACAACAATAACAAGAACAGAAACATCAGATTTCTTTTGGCGAGTGTTTGCATGCTATTTCTTTGTATATCCTTTTATTTCCCCTATTCCTCTAACCTCACATTTAGAGTAAATGTCTTTTTTTATCTCTTCTAAGAAACAGAGAGTTAGACATTTCATTTCTGGTTGGAAATTAATTTTATGACCTTTTTGGTGTTTGGTTTGTTTGTTTGTTTGTTTTTAAACTGGAATACTTAAGCCATTATTGTGTAATTGATTGATTTTTATAGTTAGGTATTGCTGATTAGTGGATAGAGCTTTAGAACTTTTATTTTTAAAGGATGATGGTTTTTAATGGGATTAACTCATGCTTTAAAAAAAAAAATCAAGCCAGTAAGGAAGTCCTGCTGAGCCCTGTTCTCCACTATGTGAAAGCAAACACTTAGACTATCAGAAATACAGCAGTGGTGCCAGGATGCCACTAGCTGGGAGCCCCTGCTGATAGAATTTTTGCATTTAGCTGACCTTGCTAGAATCGCCTTCCTTTTCTCTGTGGGTCCCTACTCTGAGTTTATGCTATGAAGTTGCTGGACTTTTTAAAGAATCATAATAGTAGCTATCTTCCAACTTCGGTTGTTAGAATCGTATGGTTTCAGTTTTTTAGCAGTTAAGTTAAACTAAATCCATGAAGGTGAACCATGGGACTATTAATCTACCCTATTGTATGCACTTTAGATCAAAAATTTACAGAGTAAATAGTTGTTCTGTTCATCCAGTGAGCTCTGGTGACTTCATGGTAAGGAGTTGGACTGTCATCTCAAAGGCATGCACTTCAGATCCACCTCTGGTGGAAAAAGCTGTGCAGTGTCTACTCTTGTGCAATACTGCCTCTGAAAACCTACTGGAGGAGCTGCTTTGAATCGGTCATGACTTGACAGTACACAATAACAAGCATTCATCCTTGCAATGATGTCAGCAGATAGCAGATAATTATTTGTTGGCAAGTTTTTTACTTCCTATAATTCACTTGGAGAGCTTTAGTGACTTAGTGGTAAGAAACTGTGCTACAATCCTGAAGGCACATGGTTCGAATCCACCTGCCACCCCATGGAAGGATGAGCAACTTCTCCTATACAATTAACTGCTTCTGCAAACGGTCAGCTCTGACGCGATAGTACATAACAACATAATAATAATTCACTTGGACAGCTTTCATCCTATATCTTAAATCTGGTTCCCATGTAAATTCCTTCCTTAGAAATCTGTGCCATTCTCTGCATTATCATACTTGTCTTGCTTTTTTTCTGTTGTATTTTTCTTATTGCTCTCCTCAAAAAAGACCATACAATGTTTTTCCTGTTCAAGAAGATCATACTGTACAATTCCTATTGTAGAAAGTACAAAAAAGGATAAATACACATTAAGATTTGAATGAGATTCATTCTGAGTGTGACAAAACAGCATCATTTAAAGTAGTAAATACAGAAATACAAGTGATAATTTGTAATTGTCAGAGGGTAGAATACTCAATCCCATGACTATAACGACAGTATGGAAGGGAGAGGCATGAGATTAGAAGCTCTGTTGGCAAACTTTGCCATCCACAGTACACCAGTGAATGAAGTGAAAAGAAGGCAAGTGTAGGGTTTGAAAGAGGTAACCAGAAGGTAACCACTTGCTGGCTGTGGAGACATATGTTGGGTGTAGAGCGAGTACACTGTATCACTCCTCATAGTTCTGCTTTTCTCTCTGGGCTCTTTTCCTCTGCCTTTGCACTTCTTCTGGGAGCAGAGCTGTTATTATAATGTTGCTGTCAAGTGTCATCAAATATGACTCATAATGACGCTATGAACAGTCCTGAACCCTGCCCTGTTCTGTGCCATCCCCCTCATCTCTCACATCTGCAGTCACTGTGTCGAGCCATCTGGTTGAGGACTGTCCCCTCCTTTGCCAGCCCTCCAGTTTCCAAGCATGATGTCCCTCTCCAAGGAATAGCCTCGCCTTACTAGGCGAGTATGTCCAGAGTGTAAGAGGCGAAGCTTTTTCACCTTTGCCTCCAAGGAGCGCCCTGCCTGCACCTTCTCCGGGGACATACCTGTTTGTTCCTTTGGCAGTCTGTGGGATTTTCAGTACCCTCCCCCAACCTACTACATCTCCAGCCTATCCTAAACTAGTATATTGTTTCCTTTATTATATATTTACCGGTAACTCTTAGGCCATGGCAACTGTTACATATAGGGAAGAGGCTTCCATGTTGAACCCAGGATTTCTTTAATAAAGGTTCTCTCATTGGCTGATGTTTCTTTGAAAATAAAAACCTCCACCAGGAATGTTACTCCTTTCCTTACAGAATTGGTTTATGTCTTCTCTGGATTGACCAATCATGACATTATCATCTGTCCTCATCTTTTAAACAATTATTTCAGAGCTCAGGCCTGCAGTACCTCATCTGCTTGGCATTTTTGCTTTTTGTGTTGGTGCATTCTTAGAGACCATAAACCTCTCCTAGTAGTACTGCTGTCTGCCCACTGCCATCAAATATTTTCTGACTCAGATCTCTACAGGAGAAGGCTGCCCCTCTTTCTGTCATGGAGCACTGGTGTATTTGAACCATAGACCTTTTGTTTAACAGACCAGCTTAGAATACACTGCACAACCATAAAGATATTGCGTATTTTTATTGAGAGTAACCATTCCCAGGGATTCTTGTCAACTAACTTTGTCTTTTTTTGCTTTGCTATTAGGGGTCCGAATCCCAGCAAAGTGCTACAGCAGTTGTTGGTACTTCAACCAGAGCAACAGCTAAATATCTATAAAACCCTGAAGACTCATCTCATTGAGAAAGGCATCCTACAGCCCACATTGAAAGTATAACTGCATCCGGAGAAGGACTGACGAGAAAATCTACAGAAAGCACTGAATGATGATATTTTGTAATTGTACAGAAAGAAAAAAGTGGTTGCAAATGCAATAGATTCACGTATTACAGACACAAATGTTTCTTCTCTGAAATTACTGTGAATATTTACCAAGCTCTCACTTGATCGACATTAAGAAATAAGTAGCAAATTGCTGGAAAAATACTCTGTACCTTTTCTAAAGTGTATTTTCCGGTGTTACCTTCCTTTCCCTTGCTAGGTTTCATAATTTCAAAGGCTTGTCTTTTCGTCAGGCACTGTAAAATGAGTGAATTGAGACTATCTTGAGATTGCACCTTGGCAGTGTGCCCTTTGCACAATATTTGCTTTTGCACTTGGAGCAGCTCTTGCTGTTCGCAGAGCGTTTTATACGAGGCACAATAGGAAGTCATTTGTCTTTGTTCTTTCCTCACTTTTAGTTTGGAGTGTTTGAGTTGACTAAAAGAAAACAGATAATGAAGGTCCATTTTTGCAGGAAGTAATTATTGGCCAGGGGAAAGCATTCTCCTTTACAGGGAGATGCAGAAATCAGGATAGGAGACAAAACTTTTTCAAGTGAAATAGAGAAGCCTTCAGCTCTGAAGAACATGCTGTGTGGATGCTCCTGGCTGATCTAAACAGATGACTCTTGCTCAGCAGGCTGTGTGAGTGTGGCATGGGCCACCACTAGGCCAGGTTCTCTGCTTCTTCTGTGTGCCTCCCTGGGAAGTGGGGTCTGTGCGGTCTGTAACCTCGGGAACACAAGTTCAATATTCAGCAGCACAGTGCATGGGGCATGGCGGGAGGTGCTGGACCAAGGAAGCGTGGCTGGTCCCAGGATGAGGCTCTGAGCACTAGACCCTGGGTACTCCCTGTGACGCCCTGCTCCTGCCATTGGAGACTCGTGTGGGAAGAAGGAAGACACTCCTGGATTCCTGACCCCAGAATAGCTCCCTGGGAGCAGCTAATCTCTGTCCCATTACCCTCACATCATGCCATAAAATCCAAGGACATCACCCACCACTTCTTTTCTTTTTTAAAAAAAAAAATCAAGCAGAAGACTAAAAAGCACATAAATGCCAAACCTGTCTTTGGTGAGTGAGACATTCTAAACAGATGAGATTAAATTTCTTCTAAATGAATGTAAATATGCTACTGTTGCGTGCTATCTATGGCCGTTTTTAATTGTATTGAACAGTTGGCACTGAACCTTCAAAATCTAAGTAGTGTCCTGGCTAAATATAGAGACAAGAAACTGATATATTTTAAAGAATGTTTTGCTAATGAAAAGAGTAAATATTTTTGTTTAAATCATAAATGTCAATTTTATATTTTCATTTTCATATTAATGACTAAGAAGAAGAAAGAAAAACTTGTATTTTAAAGAGTTGAAAGTAAAGGGTTGTATTTGGGGCTGGGAACCATGAATATAACCTATATTTAGCAACCCCACCATGTACCTGGTGAAAGTAGGTGTAGTTAAAGTCAGGACCAAGGCGCTAGTTTCTTGGTCTGGTTTGCAATCATTTGATTCATCGCCACTGAACTTCACACTTCCATAAAAATTGAGCATTGGCACTGGAAATGTTATTACAGGAGGGAAAGATTAACTGTTAAAATCAAGCACCCTAACAGGTTAATTTTCAACTTTGTTTTTATTTGCCCCATTAACAAGTGTTGATAACTAAAGAATTCAGGATGCCAAAGTTTGAAAAAGAAAGTGAAAACTAAGTGAGCTGAACAAATGGAAACTCCTTGGAGCTATGTGGCCAAGTCTGCATTTTTCTTTAAAGTATTTGGTGAGACACTGTCCCACAGAAACATGGGAGCATTGCTGGATACCTCACATTATAAAATAAATACTAGAAACAAAATAATGAAGCTAGGAATATGTGGGGTCACAATAATAGCTTTCCTCAGATATACTCTGAGAGTGTACATTATTCCATATGTAAAGACGTAAATTCTTAATTTTAACAGAGCTTTAAAGATTGACCTTTTTAGTGTACTTTTGTAGCGTGTATATTAAAATAGAATATATTTTAGCAGAAGATTGCCATAAAACCTGACTTTGATCATTTTTATATTTGCTCCTTGAGGAGGGCTTAAATTCCAACATTGTGTTGTGGTGATATAAATAAAAAGCTAGAAACTTCTTCACAGAACTGACTGATTGTTCCAAATTGCTATTTTGAGAGATCGTCAGTATTTAGTCCTTCATTTTTTATTCTGTGAGATACATATGTTTCCTCAATGCTTTTCTCCCTATGGTGATGTATATATACAATTATCATATTTTTATGCAAATAACAGATACCTTCTTTATTTGTTTTTCCAATTAATTGTTTCCATCAACCTCAATTGTTGGTTTTATTCTTAAATTCCACTACACATTTTTTTTTAAAAAAACCACCAAGTTGCTATATATAAAAAGGGGGAAAAAAGCATAACCCATTTACTAAAAATAACTCCTGGGGAAGGGAGTGGTTGGCAACCAGATTTAAAAGATGCATTGTTACTTGCTTAAAATATACTGAGAATAAAAACAACACACATATACCCCTTTTTTGTTCCTTTATGACACTTTCGTATGAACAAAGGTATCTTGTTCGGTAAAAAAGGAAAAAGACAGTGTATATTATATGTATACTGTGTATAAGGGGATAGTTTATGGTATGTATTAATTAGTTCTCTGAAGCTGAGATAGGAAAATAAAACTGAAACAAATCAGGTTTTGACTTTGTGCCATGTTCTCATTGGAATGGAGACACTACAGAATAATGAGGGGTATTACACATAGTGTGTGTCATGCATTTTCTGTCAGTGTCGGCAGTGACATCTTCAGTCCTGAGGGTAAGTTGAAGCTGGTGATGACTGCACGTCTTTATTTGGTGAGTGGTTATAGGGACTTTATAGCTTTTAGTTAAATTTTGGTGATTTTTTAACAGCTTCTCAAAGACTAACCCGCAACTTGTATCCCCTTCAGTTTCTGAACAAAATGCATAGACTTGGAGTCTGAAAACCCAAATGCTTACCTCCCAGCTTCCTGCTTCCTGCTTTTCCTTGGACAGTGTCCTCTACCAACCACTCCCATTTTCCGTTTTCATTGTGCACATTCCTTATTCCTTGCTAATAGTGTTGTTCTTTTTTTTAATTTTTAAAATTTTTTTATTTGTGTGTGTGTGTGTGTACCGTCAAATCGGATCTGACTGGTACATGAGGAATGCCCCTCTTTCTCCAGCAGAGCACCTGGTGGATTCGAACTGCATACCTCTGGGATTGCAGTACAGTTTCTTGCCACTAGGCCACCAGCGCTCCCCGCTAATAGTGTTCCTCTAAAGATGAAAAAAACCCCTCATTGACTCCAACTCATGGTGACCTTATATATAATGCGGGGGCGGTGAGGGGGATCTGCCTAGTCTTCTACATCATTGGTGCGCTCCAGTCACCAAAGTTCTCCCTTGCTTTTGCTGACCCTCTGCTCTTCCATACTTGATTCCATGTATAAAATGATTTGGACAACGCTTTGCTGATCCATAAGGTTTTCATTGGCTATCTTTTAGAAGTGTATCACCAGGCCCTTGTCTGAAAGCGCTGCTAAACATATACATACAGAACTTCGTTTGAAGGAGACAATTCCAGCTTTTAAAAGAATAACTACCCTGTCAGTGGCATTTCTAGACTAGCTTGGAGGTTCTGTGATTGTGTTCTACAATCAAACTAAAGTAGGGCCTTTGACCGGGGCTGAGCTAGGCGGCAACATATAATATGAAAAGCTCAAGCAAGATAAGAAACCCAGCATTTTCCAAAATTGGTATTAAACTCGGTCAACTGTTTTCCTACCTGATACCTTTTGAAAGTGTATTTGGAAGTGGCTTTACATCAAGTCATATTTTAATGGGGTTTTGAAAGGGGCAGAAAGATGGAGTGATGGTCACTTGAGAAGAAAAACCTTTTGGAGGCATTGCTGGCAGGAATGTGCCATGGTGGAATGTAACCACGGGTGTGAATGTACCACACGGAACACGGATGGCAATTCCTCAGAATGTCAAATGTAGAGTTACTGTGTTATTGTTGGTGACATTGTATTAGGTTTTGACCCATAGTTGCTACAAGCAAGAAAGGAATAGAAAGCTAATGTTTAATATTTCACAAGGGAGAAGTGTCCTTTTAGTATAGAAGGGCAATGAGAAGTGGATTCCTTACCAGGCTGGAGCCCTCACCCTGTTAGCCCCTAGGGACAGTTTTGTCGTATTGTATCAAAGATGACCTTTTTATGAATGGACAGGTATACTATGACTGCGCTGAGTCAGGCTATTTTCCTCTTTATGTGGTGTACTGAATCAAAGTCTTTTCCCGTGAGAGAGCGTTCATGCCAGAAGACCAACATTTAGCAAATGTAGGCATCACAAGACCAAGGAATACACTAAATTAGCAGCCCGAACACCTTCAGGCATTCTCTTTTAACAGCTTCCTAACGGCCAAGAGCTTTCAGAGGCCACGTGAGTGTATGAGCTCCTAGGGGGCAGACATCTTGAAAGGGTGATGACCCTTCATGATGACCAAGCATCCAACTAGACACCATCTTGAAAGAAAACCAGAAGCATGTGTCCTGTGATGATTTGTTCACACCAAAGACTATTTTAGGGCCAGCCACATACACCTACTGACCAGCGTAGTCTCTCCTTTTCTGAAGATACCCCCTGCCTTTCCTTTCTAAAGATGGTGACTAATCAGGAGCTTCTCACCACGTACTTAAGCTAGTGGTTGTTGTTACGTGTCATTGAATTAACCATGACTCAGAGTGACCCCGTGCACAATAGCTCTCTCCTGAGCCAATCTCACTGTCTCTGACACACCTACACTTATTACGCCAGTTACTGCGTCAATGCATCTCATCTGTGGTCTTCCTCTCCTCTGCTGCCCCTTCACCTTTCCAAGCATGGTACACTTCTACAAAGACTGGTCCCTCCTGGAAACATGCCCAAGTATGTGAGGGGGAGCCTCAAAATCATTGCCTCCAAGGAGCAGCCTGGTTTCACCCGCTCTAGGTCAGACATGTTGGTTCTCTTGGCAATCCATGTATGTTGGAATAACACCCCATTTTGTTCTGATCTTTCCAAAATTTTAAAGAACAACAATATCAATTTAAAGACTAAGGTGTGCCTGACCCAAGCCACGATCTTTGCAGTCATTTGCTATGCATCTGAAAGTTGGACAAAGAATAAGGATGATAGGAAAGCAATCAATGCTTTTGAATTGTGGTGTCAAAAAGTACTGAATAGTCCATGGACTGCCAAAGAACAAACTAGTCTGTCTTGAAGGAACTGCTACCCGAGTGCCCCTTAGAGGCAAAGATTTCAGACTTCGTCTCATGTACTTTGGACATGTTGTCAGGAGGGGATGTTGTTGTTGTTATGTGCCGTCGAGTCGTTGGCAGCTCATAGCGACCCTATGTACAACAGCCCTAAACCCTGCTCTATCCTGTGCCAATCCCATTGCCTCTGACACACCCATCCCGATTATCCCAGTCACTGAATCAATCCACCTCATAGAGGG